TGCCAGTCAGCAGTCCAGTGCTTCCCGCACTGTGCCACCCTAGCTCCTGAGCTAATGGACACTTTTTGGCACTTGTCAAGTTTATTGCATGTCTGTAGACTGTTGGCTAGGTGGTGTTTGAGTTTTCCATCGCTGCTGTAACGAGTGACCACAGACTTAGTGGTTTAGATCATCCCCATGTATTGGCACTGTAGGATAAGGATTAGGCGGCTAACCGAAAGGTTAGTGGTTCAAACCCACCAGCTGCTCCTCAGAAACCCTATACAGGGTCGCTGTGAGTCAGAATGGACTAAATGGCACTTAACAACAGCAACCATGTATTACCTCACAGTTCTGTAGACTGGGTCCCTGCTTTGGACCAGGTTGAAGTCAAGTGTGGCCTACACTTCTTATCAAGGTTCTGGGGGGGAATCTGCTTTCAGGCTTGTCCTGACCATTGGCAGAACCCAAGGTTCCCGATCCCAGCCACCCCATGTTCCCTGGTTCTTGGTGCCCTTCATCTTCAAAGCCAGCAATGGCAGTTTGTGTCCTTCTCCTGTCCTAAGATCTCCCTGACTTACCTTCTGCCTTCCAGTTCTGCTTTACACTGGGCCCTCACTGGTAGTCTCCAATCGTCTCTCTGTTTTAAGTTTAACTGAGTAGGGACCTAAATTCCATCTATAAAGCCCCTTCACAGTATTCCCTAGATTTGTGTTTTATTGAATAACCCAAGGAACAGACATCTTGAGAAGGAACCCGAGTAGCATAGTGGGTTATGTGTTGGACTGCTGAACTGTCATTAGTAGTTCAAATCCACCTGCTCCCAGAAAGACTCAGAGACTCAGAAACCCGATATAGAGTCATTATGAGATGGAACCAGGTCCTCAGCTTACCATCACGACCATCTGGCATCTTGAGAGGGCCCCCTGTACCTCTGCATCCAGCAGCTGATGCGAGGTGGCTGTGCCTAGTTTTGAAGTATGTATTCGCATTCAAGAAGGTACAAAATGAATGGTAAACCTTTTGCCAAGGTAACACACCGCTGTCCTCGCCTGGTCAACTCAGAAAGGACTAAAGGTGTGTAAAACCATGAATGGGTGGACAAGACACAGAACTTAAAGGTTCCCATTGTAATTCAGAGTTGAACGATATCTCATCACCTAGTCATGCGATAGGGACCCTGGTAGTGTGGTAGTTCAAGTATCCATGAGCTAACCATAAAGGTTGGCTGTTCAAACCCACCAGCTGCTCCACAGGAGAAACACATGACAGCCTGTTTCTGTGAAGATGTGCAGCCTTGGGCACCTCGTGGGGCAGCTCCGCTATGTCCTGGGGGGTCACTCAGAGTTAGAATCACTTGGCGACAGCAGGACCAGTGACCCGACGATGTCTATGGAAGTGGAAAATGCAATCAAGACTTCTCCCAGCCTCTGGAAAGGCTAGCACAATGTGGTCACTAGCAGGACTGGAGTCTGTTAACCAGGGGGCCCGTCAGTGCATTTCATCCCCTGAGTAATTCCCTCACCAAAAGCCCCACAAGTGTAGGAATCCCTGCTCCCACTTTACAGATGAAGAAGCTGAGGCCACGTGGTGGAAATGAGGCAAAGCCAAGACCTAAAATGAAATGGACCCTGCTCCCAACTTGTGCGGCAGACTCTCTGGCATCTCAATGTCTTCACTTGGTGTTCTGGTGATCGTTGTGAGCCACAGACTTCTTTTCCTCAATATACTGATGTAAATAGAAGTCTTATTGATCCACTTGAGCAGCTATTATATGCTGTCAGATCAAAGGAGCTGTGTGTGGCTTATCATCTCCCAAAATTCACATGCATCAGAAAGCAAAAAATGTTTTCATCTCATCCATTTCCATTGTGGAATAGCTTACGGAATCAATAATAGCTTAAGAAAACCTCTGAAAATAGCAAAGAAATGGCAAGTTCACCTAATTAAACACATCAAACCCAGGGTATTAAGTAACCCATGAACACAGCTCCACCCTTCCGGCTAGGTGGTGTACTACATGGAACAGACTCAGTTTTTAATAATTTATTCGAGCTGCATTCCTTCCCTTAACTATAGATTAAATCAGCACACAGAGTACCAGAGAGAGTCAAAAATTATCCGCATTCTAGCTGTAGAATGTATTTTAATCAACTTTTAGAAAAGACAAACGCATCAGTTTTTGGCACAATCTCCTTGCTTTTCAATACACTCTGTCCATCTGTCAAGAAGCTTTCCTATTCCCTTGTTTAGAAAATGTTTTAGGCAGGACTGCGAGCCACGAGTGCCCTCCTTCTTCAGCAGAGGTGAGTCTTTGTCCTCCAAGGTCTGCTTTCAAGGGACCAAACAGGTGAAAGTCCAGTGGAGCAAGATCAGGACTATAGGGAGGATGCTTTAAGACCTCACAAGGAAGTTTTTGCAGAGGGTCAGCAGTGTGGGCAGAGGTATATTGACATACATTGATTGTCATGCAAGATCACAATGCCCTTAGATAGCCATCCTCTACATTTAATCTGAAGTTTAGGCTCCGGCTCTTTAGTGAGCACCTCACTGTAATGAGCACTGTTGATTGTTGAATGTTTTTCCTGTTAGTGTTCCAGTACGGACCCTTGAGAATCCCAGAAAACTGTAAGTGTTAATTTTCCAGCTCATGGTTGACTTTTGAACTTTTTCTTGGTCGGCGATTGAAGATGTTTCCATTCCACACTCTGCTGTTTACTCTCAGACTCGTAGTGATGAATCCACGTCTCATCACCAGTAACGATTGTTTTCAAGAAACTTTACCTTTCTTCAAGTATTGGTTCAAATTTTGTTTGCAGATGTCCACGTTCACTCCTTCATAGCGATGGCCTTGAACGGAAAGTACTGATAAGACAGTGCAACCAAAGGGAGTTTTCATATAATCGGAGCATGGATGTTTTTTGACTCACTCATATATTATCACCTTATGGACTAGGTCTCCCTAGAACAAAGCTATTCCCTAATGTATATTTCAGAAAAATATGTTTGATAGCATCGGGCCATATTTCAGTGTATCTAAGGTATAATCAAGTGTTATGATTCTTTATCACTTTATGTAGCACTGAAAAAGAAAGTGCTGCCAATTAAACAAGGTTGTACTATCCATTTTAAGACACCTTAGAATTCTGATGTGTGAAAATGCCGAAAATGTGCTTCATCGATTCAATGAGAGAGTTGAGTCTAATCTAACTTGAAAAGTGAGGCACCAACTACCTCAAATGGAATGATTCCCATGAACCATCCCGTCACCTCACGCTCTTAGCACCTTATGAGGACCCACTTACCAACGATGACATTTGACTTAGAAAATTTTAGTGCAGGTCCTTGGTCACCCATTGGCAGTCAAAATTCAAATTCAAACCTAAATTTGTTTGATTCAAAACAAAATTGGGTTAGTTTTCTCAAGGGTTAGGAACCCTTCTTTGTCATCTTATAATTTCATGGCCAATGCATCTACCCACTTCTTGGTCATGGATGAAAGTGATTAACCCCAAACCCAATGTCGCCCAGTCTGTTCTGACTCACAGCCATCCTACAGGACACAGTAGACTGTCCCATAGACTTCCAGTGGCTGTAAGTCTCCATGTGAGCAGACTGGCCCATCTTCTCTGGGGTAGCAGCCAGTTCTAACTGCCGACATTTTGATTGGCAGCTGAGTGCTTAGCCATTGTACCACCAGGGCTCCTAAGGTGATAAAGACTGAAGAAACCAAAAACAAAACAACAAAGCCTGTTGCTGTCTACAGTCGGGTTTTCATGGATGTGGCCTTTGGAAATACATAGCCAGATCTTTCTTCCAAAACGTCTGTGGATGACTTTGAACCTCCAACCTTACTTTAGCAGCCTTGTTGTTGTCAAATGCCATGGATTCGGTGCTGACTCATAGTGACCCTGTTTCTGAAGCTTGTCTTTTTAAAATCTTCACAGGTGCCCAAAGCCTAATCTTTCTCCCACGGAGCAGCTGGTGTGTTCAAACCATGAACCTTGTGATTTGCAGTCTAGTGCTTATCCTATGGAACTACCGCACTCCCCATTAGTTGTTGTTGTTAAGTGCCATCGAATCAATTCTGACCCATAGAGACCCTGTATAGGGTTTCCCAGGAGCAGCTGGTGAGCTTGAATCACCGACCTTGCAGTTCAAATGGCTTTGCAATCTGACGCATTAACCCACAGCGCCACACCAGGCCTTCCCCCATTTGTAGCCTAGTGCTTAACTATACCACTCAGGGATTCCAAAAGAAAGGTCAGGCTAAAGATAACATTGCACAACTAGCAAAGGTCAAAACATTATGGTTAAAGTGATAACTGGGCATTCATATGCATTTTTTATAGCCAAGTAATCATTTGGGATACATTAATAGATGCAAAAAATAGATATGCCCCAATTTCTATTCATTGTTCCCTGTGAAATACTAATATGCTGTGAGGTCACTTGTGAGCTTCAGTCTTCACCAAATCCAACTAAAAAAAAAACAAAAAAAAAAAAACCCACCTGTGAACCAGAATAATGAATTTGAGATTAAAGTCCCAAATAAATAGTAGAATTTTAGCTCCCCTTGCTGAAAATAGAACAGACCAATGAAAATATTTATTATAACAAAATGAGGAAAGTAGACTGAAATAGAGATTACAAGAACAATTTAACTATATTTATTGTAACAGAGTGGCACTGTGGAATAAAGCACTGGACTGCAAGGTCGGCGGTTCAAACCTACCAGCAGCTCCTTGGAAACCCCATAACTGGGTCATTATGTGTCAGAACCAACTTGATGGCACTTAACAATAACAACAACAAACTATAACAGTAGAGTCCTGCCTGATGTGGCACTGTAGGTTAAGTACTGGACTGTTAACAACAAGGTCTGCAGTTCAAAGCCACCAGCCACACCTCAGAAACCCTTACACAAGGTCACAATGAGTTGGAATCTACTCGATGACCCACAATGACAACAAGAAGTGATGTTGAGTGTTTATTTCACTGTGACAAAGACCCAGACTAAGGTGAGAGCATAAGAAGAGTTAAATTAATAGCTTTCATGTGGTTGATTAAGACAAATTTTAAGAAACAATGGAGCAAGAGTAGACCTTACTTTTTTAGTGTTTTTGTTTGTACAGTGTTTTTATTTGTGAACATACTTCTTTATCTAAAACAAAACAAAACAAAAAACAAAAACACTTGTTTCACGTGGTTCATAAACACTTTATTTTAATCACATAGCCCCACCTCCAATTCACCCAAGTAGTAATAGATATGTGGTACATTAAAATGATTCCTGCCATTTATTCTTATCTTTTTCCGCCAAGTGGATAATCTGAGTTAAGCAGAGTTGTGAATTGAATAGGACTAATGTATTACCCTGCAGTTGGTGGTATCTCAAGGAACAAGGACTCCTATACTGTATGCGGAACACAACACATATCTGCTGTTACCAGTGCATTTTTGAAAACAGCTTTTATGGCCTTATTTTTGAAAATGGGCTAATTTTTATTTATTTATTTATTTTTAGCATTTTCTACTTGCTTTAATTGGAGGTCTGGTGTGGCACACCATAGGTAAACAGTCGATCTCATGGTCAGTTTGAACCAGAAGGTCAACAGTTCACAGTCAATAGCTGCTCCTCGGGAACTCTACGCAGGGTCACTATGAGTCAGAACCGACTGGACAGTACTTAACAGCAACAGCAAGCTGCTTTAATTAATATTCTATGTTGTTATTGTTGTTAAGTGCCTTTGAGTCGTTTCTGACTTTTACCAAGTCTGTGTCGAATTTCTGAGGCTTTAAATCCTTGTGGGAGCAGCAAGTGTCATCATTCTCCCCTGGAGCAGACTTTGTGGTTCTAAGTCTAGTACTTAATCGTACTCGCAGGGACCCTGTATAGAGTTGCCATGGAGCAGCTAATAAGCTTGAATGCTGACCTTGAGGTTCAAACCTACCATGAAGAGTTAACCAGCAGAACCACAATCCTTACTACGTTGAGGACTAATTTTGTCCATAGACCCCTCAGTGTTTCAAGTCGAGGTTTGAATTTTTTCTTCAGTTCCCTTAGCTTGAGAAATGCTGATTGGGTTCTTCCTTTTTTGTTTTCTAACACCACATATTTGTGCACTGTGATATAATATTTGACTTTGTCTTCTCGAGGTGATCTCTGAAATTTTCTGTTCAACTCTTGGACCTCCTCATTTCTTCCATTTGTTTTAACATCTCTACACTGGAGAGTAAGTTTCAGTGTCTCTTCTGACATCCATTTTGGTCTCTTCCTTCTTTTTTATTTTCTTAATGACCTTTTGCTCTCTTATTGTTTGAAATTCTGGATGTCACCCCAAAGCTTCTAGTCTTTGGTCTTTAGTGTCTAATGCATCAAATTTCTTCTTCAGGTGATCTCTAAATTCAGGTGAAATATGTTCAAGGTCACATTTTGGCTCTTGTGGATGTGTTTCAATTTTCTTCAGCTTCAGCCTATACTTGAATATGAGTAATTGATGGTGTATTCCACAATCTGTACACTGTCATTTTTGTCACTAAACCATATTCTCCAACTATTAATCATTCCTCTTTGTTTCAACCTTATTCCAATCACAAGTATTTTCAGTATATCTTGATTGCATGTTTGATTAACTTCAGACTGAAGAAGTTGGTAGAACTCTTCAATGTCATTGTCAGAAGCTTTATTGGTTGGAACATAAATTTGAATAATAGTGGTATTAAGTAGTCTTCCTTGTTGGCATATGGATATTATCTTATCACAGACAGCATTATACTTCAAGGAAGGTCTTGAAATATTCTTTTTGATGATGAATGTGACACCATTCTCATTAACTTATCATTCCTAGCATAATAGACCTTGCAATTGTCACATTCAGAATAGCCAATGCCTGTCCATTTAAGCCTAGGATATAGATCTTTATGTGTTCTATTTCATTTTTTGACAACTTCCAGTTTTCCTGGACACATACTTCATATATTCCATGTTGTGATTATTAATGGGTATTTGCAGCTATTTCTCCCTATTTTTTATCTGTTCCCCATCAACAAAAGAAGGCCCTGAAAGCTTTACTCCAGTCACCTCATCTTGGTGGACTCTACTTTGAGGAGACAGCTTTTCCTCAATTATACTTTGAGTGCCTTCTAACCTGAGGATCTCATCTTCGAGCACTACATCTGAGAATATTCTAGTACTTTCTGACTTTTCACTGTTATTCATAGGGTTTTAAATGGCTAAGTATTCATAAAGAGTCTCATTGCCCTCCTTTTTCCAAGACTGTCTTAGTCTGGAATCTCAGCTGAAAACTGCCCACCAGAGGTGGTGTTTTAAATACCAGTGGTATAGCTCCCAGTATCACAGCAACACACAAGCCACCACAGTACAACAATCTGACAGCTGATTATGGAAAAGTTGCATAGTATCAAGTATCAATATGTAATTTTTTGACATCATGGAAAATTTCCATATGATCATGTATTAATATGTAATGTTGTGACATCATGCTATTATCTTTATTTGTATCAAATATAGAAAGAAAGAAATACCTTGCCTTCAAATACCTTGCCTTGTTTTCTTGTTATTGTGCTTAATTTCAACTGAATTGTTTCCAACTCATAGCAACCCTAGTAGAAGAGAAGGAAACACCGTCCAACCCTGCACTGTCCTCACAATAATTTCTACGTGAACCCACTGTGGCAGACACTCTGTCAATCCATCTTAATGAGGATCTTCCTCTTTTATGTGAACAACCCTCCACTTTACCAAGCATGACACTCGACAGGAACTGGGCCTCCTGCTGACATGGCCAAAGCACATGAGACAAAGTCTCTCCGTCCTTTTTTCTAAGAAGCGTTCTGGGTGTGCTTCTTACAACATAGATTTGTTCATTCTTCTGGAAATCCATGTTGTACTCAATGTTCTCCACCAACATCACAATTCAAAGGCATCCATTCTTCTTGGTTCTTCCTTATTCTTTGTCAAG